TAGTGCGCCATTCTTGGGCGTCCCGGAGCTGCATGAAGCGCGGGTCTCGGTTGTGACGGATCATCTCACTGGCCCGAACCTCCGGAATACGCACTCTTCGTAAGCTTCGGACATGTCTTGGACTTCGGTGCTCGCCATGGCCTTGCACATGATGAATCCCGAGAATGCGCACTGGAACAGGAGCAATGCCGTATTTCCCCGGGCGGACCGGGGCAGCAGTAGCACGAAGTCCATGGAAACGACCTGAAACGGTCGCGTAGCCAACAGGTTACCGGGCGACGGTCCCGGGTTCCGGGGTAGTCCCTTGGCCGTGACGCAGTCAACGCATTCTTTGACATATCGCTCGGTGTCCTTGAACATGCCGATCCAGTAGAACTCCTTGCGCAGTCTCTCATAGGTCCGGATTATCCCCTGATGAGCGCCGTGGGAGTCCGCGTGACAGTGGTGCAGGATGTCCTCATGGAGATCCCGGGGGACTACCAGACGGAGATGGTCTGCGGCGTCTCCGGGACGTTCCGGGGTGTTCCGACTCACGTAGAACAGGGCGTTCCGGGAGTCCAACACAAACTGGTCCGCTATCTTGGCCAAGAGGGCGCTTTGTTTCAGGGACAAGTGCTCAGTCTCTCCCCGGAGGAACTTTACCAAAGGCGCTAGCCCCGGGTCGTGTGCCTGGTGAGAGCAAATCCTTCTCCATCGTTCCCTGCGGACGTCTTCGGGGTCTTCTTCGGAGTCTTGGCAGTCTGGGCTCCGGGAAGCGGCTGTCGGCTCGTCTTCCAGACCGTCGGTTCCCGATCCGATGGTTCCAAGGTCATTGGTTCCAGACTCGTCGGTTCCGAGGTCATTGGTTCCGGGACCGTCGGTTCCCGACTCGTCGGTCCCAGAGTAGTCGGCCCCGGTTCCCGGAACTGACTCCTCTGTGGCCTTGACCTGTTTGGACTTCGAGCGCGTCACCGCGAACATGTCGCCTTCTAAACCTCTTGGGGAGCACTTGGGTATATTCCGAGCTGTGGCTAGGAACGCGCACTCCACCAGCGACTGTTCCCGGGGGTTTTTTCATCCGTTTTTCGTGGATTCGATTCAAGCCTCGGAGCAACTTGTGTTCCCCGGGGTCCGTGATCTCCAATGATGACTGGTCCGGGATGACTCGCTTGGAGATCTAGTCGGCAGCAGCGTTGAGATCTCTTTTCACGTGCACTAGTCGTAAGGACTTGAACTTAGCTTGAAACCCTCAGCCTCCCGGAGTAACCTCAACAGGTGGGGTTGGGTAAAGCCAATGACGCCCGGGAGCTGCTGTATTGCGAGTCGGGAGTCCCCGACCACATCCAGTTCCTGGACCCCCATGTCTAAAGCGAGTTGCATGCCCTTGACTAGTTCTGAGTATTCGGCGTCATTCACGGTAGCTTTCTCCAGAAAGTGTCCCGT